TGTACGTACCAACTGAAAAAATATCAGATTGGCAATACTAGTCTGGATTAGTTCATGGTAAGCTTTTGAGGTAGTTTTTTAGAGATGCACATTTTGGACCTGACCAGAAAGAAAGTTATATTTAGTTTGGTATTGTGCAATGTGATAGCATTAATTCATGACCTCAGAGTTAAGGCTAGGTATGTGCAGCCACAACATGATTAAATTTTACTTCCAGATCGAAAAGGAGTAGACCTAAATAAGGGCAACTATGTGGGTATGAAAGCTGAGGTAGCTGATGTGAACTTGGATACTAGGCAAAGGGATAGATCAATAGTGATACGACAGACATTTAAGGGGATACTTCAAAATACAGAATAAGTATATTCCTGCAATAAAAAACATTCTAAAGGAATTAACTCCCAAACCGTCACCCCATCTGTAGTTAACTAAGAAGTAAGGGAAAGAATCAAGCTTAAGGGAAAAGCATATACCTGCAAAGATAAGGCAGGTCAGATGATAAGTCAGAATTAAAGGAATGGCAAAGACCTATTAAAAAGTTAATGAGGAGGAGGAAATTAGAGTATGACAGGAAACAGGATAGGAACACTAAAATAGTATAAAAAGTATTTAAAATGGAAAAGAGTAAGTTAAATGAGCCTTGGTCCTATCATGAGTGAAAATGGGGAGTTAATAGATAAAGAAATGGCAGATGACATGAACAAATATTTTGCTTCTCTCTTCACTGTAGAGGATACAAAACCATTCCAGAAATAGCTGCAAATCAAAAGATGGAATGAGAAAGAAAGTAAGCATAATTACAATTACAAGGGAAATGGTACCGAGCAAATTGATGGAGCTGTAGGAAACAAGCTTCTGGATGCAGATGGACTTCATCTAAGGGTCTTAAAGGAGGTGGTCAGTGAGCTGGTGGATGCATTGGTGTATCCAAACTCCCTAGATTCAGGAAAGAGTCCACTGGACCGGAAAGTAGCAAATATAACTCCTCTATTCAAGAAGGGGACGGAGTAGACACAGAAATTATAGGTGGGTTAGCTTAACATTGGGCATGGGTAGGTGTTAGAATCAATCATTAAAGAGATTGTAGCTGGGCATTTTAAAAAAAACTGAGGCAATCAGGAAGAGTCAGCGTGGTTTTGGCAAAGGGAAATCATGTTTAACCAATTTATTGTAATTCCTTAAAAGAATAACGTGCTGCAGATAAAGGGGAGTCTGTCTACATATTGCACTTGGATTTTCAGAAGGCATTTGATAAGGTGCTACATCAAAGGTAATTGCAGAAAATAAAAGCTCATGGTGTAGGGTTAATGTATTAGCATGGTTAGAAGATTGGCTGGCAGAAACCAGAGCGAATGCATGAATAGTTCTCAGGCTGATTGGCAAGATGTGATGTGTAGAGTCCCAGAGCCTCTTCCTTTGTGTCTAGGCATGAAAACATACACTTCACTCTGAATAGATTTTGACTTGAGCACCTATCCCTATGGCAACCAGGTCACATCGGGTTATCTTTGGGCAGATTTAGGAGGCCACATTGCGCTCCCTAAACTGCACAATTTTACCTTGAATTATGTTTAAAACATAATTGTTCAACATGCATAGCAATGTAAACAGTAGTGTAAATCCAGAATCTTTCACAAAGAAAGCTATGGATGCAGGGACAATTTAAACTTTTAAGACAGAGATCAATAGATTATTAAAAACCAAAAGAACTGCAGATGCTGTAATTCAGGAACAAAAACAAAGTTGCTGGAAAAGCTCAGCAGGTCTGGCAGCATCTGTGGAGGAGAAAACAGAGTTAACGTTCCGGGTCCGGTGACCCTTCCTCAGGGATCTAATCTATTGTCTCAATAGATTATTGTCAGGTAACAGTTTCAAGAGACATGGACCAATGATGGATATATGGAGTTGAGTGATTTAACTGAACTCTGGAATGGTCTGAAAGAGCTGAATTGCTTGCTCTTGTCTTTTCTTGTATCTACAATGCCTGAGCTATGCAGGAGCCCTTTACTGAGGTGTTTTTGTTCTCAAAAACATATGCATGGCTTAAGCAATGATCACTGAACAGTGACCAACAATGGAGATCCTGCTTAATTTCTCACCCATTTACTCCAGGAGTATCAGTAACTGGCTCTATTGACAATTGGTAGACAAACAGGAGGCTGGAAGAACACAGCAAGCCAGGCAAGCATCTGGAGAAAAGGAGCAGTCAATGTTTTAGGTAGAATGCTTTTTCAGGATGTGGGGGTAGGGGGAGCTGCAGATAACGAGAGGAGGGAGGGGTGGAAGCAGAATGATGGTGATAGGTGGACACTGGTAGTAGGTACAACTTAGTTGGTCAATGGGAGGGATGAATCCAGTTGGTGGCTGAAAGGAAGGGTCAGAAGGTTGGCTGTTACGGGCCAGGCGAAAATGCTCAGCAGAATGGTCACCTAGTCTACATTTGGTCTTAATGATGTAAACAAGACCACATCGGGAACACCAGATGCAGTAGACTAGTTTGGAAGCGATGCAGGTAAAGCTTTGTCTCACTTGGAAGGACTGTTTAGGGCCCTAATTTGAGTGGTTGGTAGGGAGTGTGGTGTGAACTAAGGAGTGGTGAAGGGAATGGTCCTTGCAGAAGGCAGAGAGGTGGGGGAGTAGATGATGTTCCGGGTGATGGGATCTAATTGGAGTTGGCAGAAGTGTTTGAGGATGATACGTTGGATGCGGAGGCTAGTTGGGTGGAAAGTGAGGACAAGGGGGACCCTATCTTTATTATGTTTGGAAGAGGGGTGGTTAAGAGCTCTGGGGAATGGAAGAGGCATGGTGGAGGGCTGTCTGGATGACAGGGTGGAAAAAGAACATTGTTTAAAAAAGGCAGACATCCGGGATGCTTGGGAGTAGTACATCTCCTTTGCGGAGCAGATGCAACAGTGACGGAGGAACTGGGAAAATAGGATGGAGTTTTGCAGGGTACAGGGTGGGAGGAGGTGAAGACTAGATAGCCATGGGAGTCTGTGGGTTTCTCTTTATCTGCAGCTCCCAGTCCTGAAGAAGGGTTATACCGGAAATGTTGACTGTTCCTTCCCTCCAGATGCTGCTTGGCTTGCTCTGTTCTTCCAGCCTCCTATTTGTCTACCTTGGATTCCAGAATCTGCAGTTTTATTGTCTCTAGTGTCAAGTGGTTGAGATCAGCGCTGAAAATATACAGGAGGCGGATTTGCCCAGAAAAATGAATCACAGAGGTGACCAAGTAGAAAGGCCCCCTCACGTGGAACTGAGTTCTTGAAAATAGCTGGTCTTCCAATCACAGGTTGCTTCTGGCCCATATTTGTCACTGATGGGCTCATAGAGAACTCAACAGCAACAAGTGTGAAAGTGAAATGGGGACTTTGGGAGGGGAATTTGTAAGGAGAGGAGGATGGTAGGAGTCTGAAGGGAGAGGCTGAGGTAGGGGTGTAGGGAGGGGAGAGTTAGTCTGTACAGAGAGGTGGTGGGAAGAGCGGAGGGAAGAGGAGGAAAGGAGTCTGGAGGGAGAGCTGGGAACAGGAGGGTAGGGTACAGTAGTGGTGAGAGGGAGAGGCCAGAGGCAGGAAATGTTTCTGTATGGACATGAACAGAAAAGGGGTAGACAGTCTGTATGGAGAGGCTGTGGGGGAAGTTTGTAGAGAAAGACCAAAATGAGGATGTGAGTCTGCAGGGAGAATTGGAGGTTGGGAGGGGGAAGGGGAAGCGAGACTATAGGAGAGGGCGAGATGGGGGAGCAAATCAGCAGGGAGGAGAAAGGAGTGAGCAAATAGTTAGTTGGGAAAAGTGGGTAGAAAGGAAGATGTTCAGAGTATAGAGAAGGAATGGCTACGAAAGGGAGGTATGGAAGTTGTCAACAGAGGAATACCTAGCTAACTAACAGCTAAGGAAAATGTGAAGTCACAGATAATGAATCCATCATAAATTGTGTTTTTGATGAAATGTGAGTCAGTTATTGAAAAAAAATCTTTTGTTGCTAACTTATGGCAATTGCCTTCTGCCAATTTAAATACTGTGGTATGTAGGAAATTTAAGCTTTCCTATTGTGTTGTGGCTTTCAATGGAAGGTTGATCATTTTTAAGGATATCAATGAGCTCTTTTAATTCTTCTCTGAGCCCAATAACTTGCATGTCAGCACAAAAACAGGTGTATTGCTGATAAAAGACACCTTTTGTTGAAGTTTTTCATATTGCATGCAACAGGACAATTCACAAGAATTCCCAAAGTAAAGGGAAAACTACATTTATACTGAAAGACAAGAGCGTGTTTACTGGCAAATTGATTCTGATTGGTAGAGGCATTTCCTTTAAGAATGCACCAGTTAACGATGACTGACAGTTAATTGCCAAGTGTTGTTTACATTTTGTTCACTGTTTGATAAGACCCACTAGTCTTTGGGATGTACGACCTACATGTCTGGCATCGCACTGGTACTCAAATACTGAATTACATATTTGTGTGATAGGCAGCACATTGTTTTGGTTTGATGGTAGCATCTTGCTATGGCGAACATCACTTATGTTGCTACGACATAGTAGCAATATGAAACAGCTAGCTTCATCTGTTTATCAAATGATTGAGATACTTTACCCTTCAAGCACCTTCTGAGGTAGACTGGGCACTTTTCAGGACCGAAAATGACAGTTTTAAGTCTGTTCTCTAATCTCATACAACATATATATTGCTTTCCCTTTTCTTTGATATTTCCTGTAAGTTTTGCACAGAGCAGCAATCAAATAGGGAATTTGCCAGCTCCACATCAAACATGTCAGCAGTAGAGATAAAAGCTTCATTTTAGTGAGAACTAAATTGACTTTTGGATTGGGAAGTGGTTCTGTCCACTGTACTTTGATTCTTTCTTACAATAGCCTGTCAATTGTGGTAATATTTCTTTCTGACAACCTAAATTCTCTACCAACTAATACAATTAATGATTGTTCACAGAATAATTTGTATGTGCATAGAAACTAATTCTAATTTATATTTTTTACAGAACCTGTTACTAGCCTCAAAGGGATCAGTATCGAAGTCTGAATGCTGACTGTCAGGATGATGTTTATTTAAAATTATTATAGCATCTTTAACAAGAAAGATTCAACATTTTTGGCTATAGTCAAAGCATTAAAGCCTGTTGATCAATGAGTGTGTATACACTCCTAATTATGAATTATTCCACTGGACTGGATTGATTATTTTAATTGCTCTTTGACAACTGTATTGCACTTAATTGTATTTATTGGTTCGCTCTGGCGAATTAGATAAAATGTATTTTGCACATCAAAATGTAATAAACATTTTTATAACAATGGTATTGCAAATAATCAGATTTACTGTCATGTATTTTCATGGGGTTTGGGACAGATAGAAATATTATGGTTTATCCTCATCAATCAATTTTTGAGGGACACTAGGTGAGCTTAACACACTGTTAAAATGCAGCTACACCTCATTCAACAAAGTGTAACTTTTTCAAGGTTTTTGCAGAGAGACAAATAGTGTAAAAAGGCAATTTGACATTAATTCCAATTAATTGCAATTTCGGAAGGAGTCAAATGGTGCATCCTGAGGGAAAGTATAGAATCGCTGACAGCAATTCTTGCACTTTAGACATTTTGCTATATATGTGTGGAGTCCAGGTGTTGCTATTAGTTTCAAAGAAGCAATGATAGTTAATGATAACGGCTTCATTGGCATTTCTACTTAAAAGCCATGCCTATAATTAATAACAGCAAAACAGTTATCCTAATTTTTGACTTTTATTTGACTGGAGTTGGGCTTTACAGTGTAATCAAAGTCCTTACACTGTACTTCTGTTCATTGAATTATATCTCCTTTGAGAATTATTTTATACACTACTGTTTTGGCTTTATGCTCATTACATTTTAAAAATATAAATTAAATATTAATATGAATACTGGAAAGGATCCTTTGTGTAAAATCAATAATGGAACTGAAAACATTGATGCTAACTTTGCAATAGCTGACTGAACATTCACAAATGGTTTGTTTGGCATCCATGATTTCTCCATCAATAATAAATGCTTAGTCATACAAGTATGATCAAGATTTGTTCTCATCCAGGCTATCAACCACATAGAGCAATCATATTCTGTCTTGATTTCCAGAACCACATTACCAAGTCCAGTGTGTTAATCATTAACATATCCACTCATAACTTCTAAAATGAAACCAGGTGTCCTTTTGAAAATGAAGGTGTTATGAAGACTCGTGCTTCGTTTGATTAATCATTGATCAAGGCAGGCCTTATATCTTGAATGTAATGCTATTGCATGCATCAATTATTTTGAATGATAGTTCGTAGAATTTTGTAAGTTTTGTTACATTTTTTGAGAAACAAGGAAAAAGGATACTGATATATATGTAGCTGTATATATCTAACAGTAACGGATGTTGTGTTGTTAAGGAGGCCACCCTTCAGGTCAAAAGTTAAACTGTTTTGCTGCACATTAAAGATGCCTATGGCACCTGAAGAAGAACAGGGAATTGTCCTAGTGTCTTGGCCACATTCCTCTTTCAAGAAACATCATCAGAAAACAGATTAACTACTTGTGCCTCTCATTGATGTTTGTGGGGTTTTGCTAAACATAGAAACCAGGAGCATGAGTAGCCCATTTGGCCCTTTGAGCCTGCTCCATCATTCAATATGATCATGGCTGATTCTCTATCTCAACGTCATATTCCCATTTTCACTCCATACCCCTTGATGGCTATTTGCAAAACAGCTGCCATGTTTGCCTACATAAAAACAGCTGCTGTCCCTCTTATGTATATCTGGTCTGTTCCTGAGAATATCATAAGTTGCAACACAATTAAAAACTTAAATTGTTGCAGTGTTCTGTGTTATGCGGTCTTGAAACAGTATAGCACCTATTATGGCAGTAAGAGCTTACAGGATATTATGTAGCTGAGTACAAGCTGTAATGTTTACCTGATAGCAATATCAACAGAGGGGAACAAAGCAAATGTAAATCACATGACTAGCGTTGCTAGGGTTTATCTCCAACACCCAGTAATTAAACCGCTCTGATAACACTCTGCCAGGTGTGTAAAGCCATTTATTTCATTCCTGTCCACTGCCTGACATCATCCATAGGGACATTTAACAGCCTCAGAACAATTTCCCAGTGGACAAACTGCCTCTGTCTCCAAAGTACAGAAAGAATAATCATATCCCCAGAGATATTCCTTCCTGATGTTCATTGAATGGATGCATTGTTTAGCCTTCTCCTGTTTATTCAGGTTTCCTGCTAACCTACAGTAAGAACATTTCACCTGCTTTTTGCAGACAAGTTGGGTTACTTATTATTTTTAAATATTGTTTGCATCAAAAACATCTTGCACGGACTGCCTTCACAGCTCAGTGAGTTCGTACAAGGATATATTTCTTGGCTAGTCAGTACAGTCTCATTAAACTTGGCAGGGAATCCTTTTGCCAGGTTCTTACGCAATTAGCAAAGTTTAGTTTTTCAATTAGGGAACTTGTGGCGCAGTGGTAATGGCCCTGCTTCTGTGCCAGATGCCTGGGTTCAGGTCCCACCTGTTCCACAGGTGTGTTGTAAATGTCTTGATAGGTTGATTAAAAATATCAACAAGGTCATTGTGACATGGCTGACTGCCTGTTCTGGACTGCATGGCATTAACGACATAATTAAATATTATGAAAGCATTCATAATTTTCATTATTACAGGAGATCTTGTGGGGAGGCGATGGCCTAGTGGTATTATCACTGGACTGTTAATCCAGAGACCCAGACAATGCCTAGTCAGCGACGCCCACATCCCGTGAATGAATAAAGAAGAAAGGTGGTGCCCTTGCTTTTGGACGAAGTTCAAGTCCCACCTGCTCCTGAGGTGACTATTTGCTACTCATTGTTTTTGATGAAACGTTATTGACCTGATATGTTTTATAGATGTTCCTGACCTGCTTGACAAACTGTCATTAGACAGGAATAAAAGAGAAACAGACTAAGGTTTTATATAGAGGACATGTTGAAGTCTTTTCAGAGCTTCTATATATAAATATAAATATGTAAAGCTGGTTTTAACACTGTTTGTTCATGGCTGTAAAAGTGTGAATTGCTTTGATTGGTTGGCTCCTGTCCGTCTGTAAGACTGAATGCTAATCAAGGCAGAGATCAATGCAGCTTTTAAGGAAAAATAAGTACTTGAAAGATATAAAAATAGTAATATCTGTGATTGATCAGGTCAGTGGCAATAGATTTGGAATTTATTAACAAGTTTGCACAACCATAATGAACAGAATGATTTCCTTCAGTGCTGTAATTACCTTGTGGTTCTACATCAAATTCTTGTTCTGTGCTGAACTGGGTTCTCTCTGACATTTGGATATCTCCTAGTGTAGTAGGGGGTACTTCATCCAAAGTTAGAGCTCCTGATTACAATCCTGTTCTCCAAGTGTACATGTTGATTCAAGACAGAATGGGCTTGGCCATGATGCCCCTTCACCCTAACCTGATGGTGTTCAATCTTTAATGTCATTGTCCATTTGGGTAAAGCTTAGCGTGCACCCAGCCCTCACTCCTAGCAACATACTTCAAACAAGCACTTAACAAGGGAGATTGCAAGGATTGCAGATGCTGGAGTCAGAGACAACACAGTGTGGAGCAGGAGGTACACAGCAGGCCAGGCAGCATCAGAGCAGCGGGAAAGTTGATGCTTTGGGTCGGACCCTTCCCAACCCGTGCTGTGTTCCTCTAGCTCCACACTTAACAAGGGAAGAGGTCAAGAAGAAAACTGGCAGTGCAGTAACAACCTCTTGTCGACCGCGTTTAAGCACACATTCTACTCCAATGTAATCAAATTTCTTTTATTTTCCATAGCATGATTTTATATGTAACCTCATGGAGAAACGGTTATACACCATGAAATTATTTACTTGTAGGAAAAATTTCAACAACAGTTTTTATTTGTATAGCACCTTTAATGTAATATCCTAAGGCACTCACAGGAGCGTAACATATTACAATATGAACAAAGCCACAAAAGGAGGCACCAGGTTAGCTGATCAAAAGCTCGGTCTAAGAGATAGATATCAAGCAGTGTCTTAAAGGCAAAAAGTGAAATAGGGATGTGGAAGGGTATCGGGAAAGGATTCCAGAGTTAACAGCCTAGGTACAGATGTCAGTGATGGAGTGATTAAAATCAGAGATGCACAATGCTAGAACTAGAGATGTATAGATATTTTGCTAATCAACCTGTTCAGAAATATTATTACACACCTGTGTAGCCGGTGGGACTTGGAATATATAGGAAGGATGTCAATGCATTGGAGAAAGTTCAGGAAAGGTTAATGAGAATGGACTCAGAGATGAGATACTTCAGTTATGGAAGAAGATCAGAAAAGTTTCCCTTGAAAAAGAGAAGACTTAGAGTAGATTAGATAAAAGTTTTCAAAATCATGAGGGTTCTGGACAAAATAGACTGCTGCAATTCATAAAAGAATCAAGTATCAGAATACACAGTTTTAAAGTGTTTTGCAAAAGAAGCAAATGCAAGATGAGAAGAGCATCTTCACACAATATGTAGTTAGACTCAGGAGTTCTTTGCCTGGAAGTGTGATGAAGGCAGGTTCAATCGAGACATTCAAGAAGGCAGTGAATGATTATTTAAATGAAAACATTGTGCAGGGTTTTGGGGAATAAGCAGGAGAGTGCCACAAAGTCAAAATGCTCAGAGAGCCAGTACAGACACAAAGGGCTTAATGGTCTCCTTCTGTACTGCAACATCTCTGTGATTAGATGATATCAGGTATTGTACAAGATTCTGGAGGATATTACAAGTTAGGGGTTGGTGAGGGATTTCTTTGGAACTTTTGAAGAAGCGTCACCGGACCTGAAAAGTTAACTTTGCTTTCTTTCCATACATGCTGCCATACCTGCTGAGTTTTTCCATCAATTTTTGTTTTCGGTTCTGATTTCCTCTATCTGCAGCTCTTTGCTTTATTAAGAGGTAATCAAGACTCAAATGAAGGATTGAGCAGTTATCCATGCATGGGATGTGGGCATTCCATTGCTGTGCCAGCACTTATCCCTCATCTCTAGGTTCCCTTGAGAAGGTGGTGCTGAACTGCCTTCTTGAACTGCTGCACTCCATTTGGTGCGGGTACATCCACAATGCCATTAGGGAGAGAGATCCAGGATTTTGACCCTGAAGGAATGGTGATATATTTCCAAGTCAGGATGGTGAATGGCTTGAAGTGAATTTGCAGGTGGTGGTAGCCTTGTCCTTCTAGATGATAATAACCATGTATTTGGAAGGTGTTGACTTG